CCACCCATTATCACCCCAAATCCATCCAATTACCCATTCCAAGAAAACACTCGAGTTTTGTCGTCTTGATCTTAGCGCTCAGGGAGCTGACAGAACTTTTACCGACGGCTTCTCGTAAACAATTAAACACCGTGAAGAGTGTTCTCTATTTTGTTCATTTAATATCTCCTTTTCTCACCAATTCTCTCTATTCTCTCGGTTCTTCGCCGTTCAGTCATCTCGCTTCCCCCCTCTCCCTGAACGACTGCTTCCTCCGACAACGTTATCCCTTTTCGGGTCATCTCGGAATCTCATTTACCTTTACCCTCTTACTCACCTCCAAATGGGAGTGTTTGCCGTCTGGACGGATCCTCCCGACAATCTCTTCCTACCAATCCCGACAAAGGAATTCGGACCGGGTGGTACACAACAGTCTAATGTAGAACGCGACGTTCACACCGCCGTTCATCTGTCGCTCACGCATAATCTTTTACTTATTTTATGACAGATTAGGGGAGGCTTCGATATCAAGGGGCGATAATGGTATCGCATCTATTTTAGCTCTTCTTTGATGGGACGAGTTGGAGGGTTCGCTGGGAAGATCGTTTGTGCCGACTGCCGCACTTGCAAAGAAGCCGGTTCATCCCGACTCGTCGCACCTACCTTAACTCATCAGCTTTCTAAAACGGGAAATAATCACGTTCAGGACGAACCGAAAGTTGGTTTATGCTCAGAAGAGGGTCGGGCCGGGTAACAAGTGAGACGAGAATGGGGCGAGAGCAGTCGTGTTCTTGTAGATGATAATGATAACAATGTGAATAATAAATCAAGAAAGCGAAAAGGAAAATGAAAACGTGTGGACTATGTGCTTCATTTCCGCACAATGAACACAAAAAGTCTAAAATCGCATTCTTGAATCGCAAAATAGACGTCGAGATCCAAATTTTCTCCCTATTTGCGCCGTTGAACAAGAGAAGAGAGCGTGAGGAGAAGCCATCGGAGAGAGAGGGAGGCTGGCTCCTGTTCCATCCGTTCAATGCCTTCTTGGCATTCCCAGTCGGGACCGACCACCACCTTCTACACGATCCACATGGTCTCCTTGTACAAGGGAGCTATTTGCATACTTTCCCCCTGGGATCGGAGATTGCACTTCTTCCTACATCATCCTATTCGTTCTCTTCGCCGATGCCTTCTCCTATTCCCTCTCCAACCACGTCCCTAGTCATTCCGACGAGGGCAGGGGCTTAATAGTCGACCCATCCGGCATCTCCATCGTCCACAAGGCCCACGTCCGGCCGCTCGTTCTCAGGCAAGACAATCTCCCGACCGAGTGCCCTTTGTCCATCCGAAATCAGACTTTTCAGTCGTTCCGACATCCAGTCCATCTAATACAAATGCGGGAGAAGTGGTCAGCGAATCCGTTTACTGTCAGAAGTGCAAGCCACTCACTTGTAGTTCCAGCTGACTATCTTCGTCCAAGCCGTCATCCTCCTTCCACAAAGGCTTCGATTTGCTGGTAGAGGAAGATGGCGACACGGCTGTTTCCTCTGCTTCCTGTCTCGTCG